AACTGAGCGTGAAAGAATGTGAGAAAAAAAACACTTATGGAAAGAGAGCAATAAAATAATGGAAATTAAGAAGACGGAAGATAATGATAAACATTGCATTTACATTTTCGAAGATCAAAGTTGACTAAGAAGATTAATTTTCATAGAAAAATCCCTGTCCAATGAATTTTAACGATAAAATCCCTTTCCAACGCAATTTCATAGTAAAATCACTTTCCAATGGATTTTCATGGTAAAATCCTCTTGCAATGGATTTTCATAGTAAAATCCCTATGCAATTCAATTTCATAGTAAAATCTCTTTCCAATTCAATTTCATAGTAAAATCCCTTTCCAATGCATTTTCACAGTAAAATGCCCTTTCCTATGGATTTTCACAGTAAAATCACTTTCCTATGCATTGTATCTTAAAATCCCTTTGTAAATCCCTTCATAGTAAAATGCCTTTCCAATGCGTTTTCATAGTAAAATCCCTTTCACATGGATTTTCATCATATCCCTTTCTAATGCATTTTCAAAGTAAAATCCCTTTCCAATACATTTTCATAGTAAAATCCCTTTCCAATGCGTTTTAATAGTAAGATCCCTTTCCAATGCGTTTTCATAGTAAAATCCCTTTCACATGGATTTTCATCATATCCCTTTCTAATGCATTTTCAAAGTAAAATCCCTTTCCAATACATTTTCATAGTAAAATCCCTTTCCAATACATTTTCTTAACAAAATCCATTTCCAATACATTTTCTTAATAAAATCCATTTCCAATGCATGTTCATTCTGATATCCCTTTCCAATGCATTTTCTTTGTAAAATCCCTTTCCTATGCGTTTTTATCTTAAAATCCTTTTCCAATACATTTTCATAGTAAAATCACTTTTTAATACATTTTTATAGCAAATTTTCTTTCCATTTAAATTTTCATAGTAAAATCTCTTTCCAATGTATGTTTTAATCATTTCTCCCCAAGCAAGGCCATAAAGCCACAAAGATGCAAGGGGTTATTAAGTGTGGAAAAATATAAGAAAAAACAGTATTAAGGTGAGAGAACAATAAAAGATCAGGAAATAATAACAGATAAGATAACTATTGCTTTGCATTTAAATTTTTTGAAGATTAAAGTCGTCTGGGAAGTAAGAAGCCAGAAAAGAGTTGCGAAGAAACTGTTAGCATAAAACTTACGGTTTCATCTTGCGATTTAAACTGTAAAATGATGAGATTTTGCCGCCAATCTAGTACTTCGATTAAATTCGTAAAGTCTAGGCACCATAGAGGAATGTTCCTCAGAAGAATTCCTGAAAATACTTATTGTGTAATTTAAATACTAGTAATGATACTCGGCGCTGTACACGTTAACTATATAATTTAATATAAAAGCGAATGATATAATTTCATCTTATAACGCTTCCGAAGATTTAAATTTAAATGTCATATGATGTTTCTTCATTTTTTAGTATATAACAAATTTGAAATTTGTTTAGTGTTATTAACATTTTGTTAAATAGCGTAATCTTAATACTATAAGATACGCAGATGACACTGAAAGGAAACATCAGCACCTCCTAGACAGGGTAGTAGAAGAATGCGAGAAAAGGGGACTAACCATCAAGAAATCATGCAGTCTGGTCCTTAGCAAGAGAAAAAAGCCCAACATGCGAGCTACGAATTGGAGATGTCAACAACAAGCAGCTGCAGAAGTTTAATTATATGGGAAGTGTTTTATGAGAGGATGGAAAATACGATACTGAGATTCGAACACGCATTGGACTAGCGAAAAAAGCATTTAAAATGCTAAGCAAGGTGCTGAGAAACAGGAAAATTTCCTTAGAAACAAAGAAAATGTGCTGGATTGCTATGTGGTATCCATCTTCTTATATGGCAGTGAATGTTGGACAATCTCTCCATGGATGAGTAAAAAACTAGAGGCAGCAGAAATGTGGTTCCACAGAAGGATACTTGACGGAGCGAGTAAGCAACAAAGAAGTCTTGTAGAAAGTGGCAACAGAAAGAACACTTCTACTCAAAATAAGGAAAACAGGTGAAATTCCTTGAGAATATAATGAAGAAGGAAGGCTTGGAAAACTTAATCTCAAAGGAGCATACTAAGGGCAGATTAATTCAATAGATTTGTCTGAGCCTAAGACAAGGATGTATCCTTTCACCGGACTTTATTCGTGAAACTTAAAGGCGGTTGTAAAGTAAGACCTTCGAACTTTTCTTCATCTGTTTTATTCATACCCACGGTGTATAGGACGCAAGCAAGTTTTGACAGAAATTTTTAGGGACAAAAAGTACATAATACAATTTATCTAAATTTATTTAAGAATATTTCTACACAAATTATTCTCAAAGTTTTTTATTTAAATTTAATATTTTATTTAAATTTAAATTTAAATATTCCACTCAGGAAATTATCAATATCATTAATAGGTAAGCCCGAATTATTTAAGAAGGATATTAGAATAATTCAGAACCTATACTGGCAGCAAAATGCCTGCATACGGATAGAAAATAATTTTATGCAAATGACACAGTATTGATAGCAGCTAAAGAAAGGAAAGTACAATAACTCCTAGAAAAGATATTAAAGGAAAGCGAGAAGAAAGGACTAAACATTAATTGCAAGAAGATAGAATTCATGGTTGTTAGTAAAAGGAACAGCCCAACATGCAAATTACAAATTGGTGATATCGAAATCAAACAAATAAAACAATTTAAATATCTAGGAATGTGTTTTAATAGAGGACGAAAAGGTCAACACTGAAATCAGAAAGCACATTGGGATAGCAAAAGTTGTAAAGTTAAGCAGAGTATTAAAGCTAAGCAGAGTATTAAGAAATAGGAAAATATAGTTAGAAACAAAGAAAAAAGTCAGTCAGTTATGTGCCATGCGTGATACACGCTTTGGCGATCATGTATCTTTCGATAGATGACTGACGAGGCAGATTTTTTTCCCGCAGTAGGTTGATATTTCTTTCTATGGTAGACCTGTTGCCATCCAAGGCTATAGAACTTGGTCTGTCCTGCTATTTACCCATAGCTGGGGTGGGAGGGAGGAGAAGAAAAGGATTCATATTTTCCCAAGGGTATTAGCACGTAAGTGAATGTAATGGATTCGACTGGAATAAGAACTCGGCTCTCCAATTCCTCAATCAGAGCTGCTATCCATTACTGCACCATGCCTGACCTGTAATGTAATATCAGTCCTCTTATATGCTGAACAATCTCCTCAAATATGAAGAAAACACTTGAAGCAAGTTAGTTCTAGTGAAGGATGCTGAAGATACCATGAACCAAACCTGTCAGCAACGACGTTTTAGAGAAAATGGAAACAAAAATGGACTCTTATAGTTAACATCAAAAAGTGGATGCTGAAATTTCTAAGGCACATAAAGAGGAAAGAGAGCTTGGAAAATTTAATTCTTACAGTATAGATTGAAGGCAAGATAGGCAGTGGAAAACAACGCATAACCTACCTAATGAGTTTGAGTGAATGGACGGAGGAGAAGAGTTTAAAAGCAAGAACAAAAAGAAAGAATTAAGAACTACAAAGGACATGCGAATTGTGGATAACCATCATCTCCAAACTTCGAAGGGACACAGCACATAGAAGAAGATCATAATAAATAGGAGATGTGGTGTGCATCGTGGAAAATGGATTCGGTGGACAGAGTTCAAATTCCAACAGAGACAGTTTTTATTCTTTTCACATTAATGCCTTTAGAAAAGGCATGAAACTTGAATTCATTGGCAACTAGTCTAGAAGGAAACTGAATTCAAAACTGTAGAGAAAGCAACAAAAAAAAAACACTTAACCATATTTCCCAACAATAATCATGATAATGCAGTTTACAGATATTAAGTGAATAATGATTCATTTCTAAGCAACATTTATTTTCAACAATGTTTCTTTAATGTTTTTTCCTCTTCAACGATAACGGCCGAGATAAGTAAATCTTCAGAGTCATTACAAGACATCACCTTAAAAACTATGTTCAAATCGAGGTTAATGAGTTGAATGACAGGTGATGTCAATTAAATGCAACTTCCCTGCCGGAAGTTGCATTTAATTTCCGTGCGCCATGACCTGACACGATCTTAACAATTACAGCTTCCAAATAAAGTATTTATAAATAACGTATTCTTGAGTAGCTTACAATATATCAATTTCACCACACCTCCTCTCACACACACGTACATTTTTCACTGGATACATTGGAACCCATGATTAATATTAACTACCGACTTAAGTTCATTGACAAGAAAGGAGAAAATTATTATTTGTTATCTCTATCTATAAAAGGCAGGATGTGTGTAACGAATGCACGGCCGCAATTTTCGACACCAAAATTTACATGCACATGCTCCAAGTTAGCGGGAAGGCCAAGACCGACTTTGCATTTCCCAACTCCCATCGATAGTGGAAATAATCGATTTTTTCATACTTCTATGGCAGTTTTCATGTAGTTTGCGGCCATTTTGTACTGGCCAGAGTGAGATCCAACAGCTGACTGATACGAATGTTAACTAGCATGCAAAAAAAATCGATAGCTGCATTCGTCACAAGCGGGAAAAATTTAAATCTGCATGACACTTTACTCCAATTGGCTCATTCGCTTGCTTAAACTCAACGTTGATTCTGATTGGGTATGAAAAAGTATTTGTTGTTAACATTCTTTTTTCATTCGGTTTTTCCAGTTACGAGTCCTTTTTTAAAGCTGATCGTTTAGTGTTCATTTTGTTTAGTTCTTTTTTCGTAACAGATTTAATGTTTAGTATAGAGCTTAGAAAAAAATCGCAGTGTGAGATGGGCAAGAAGTAAGGGGTGTAGAAACATCAGCACGGCAAATGGCACTCCTTTAAAGGCAAGGAAGGTCAAAAATATTTTAAGTCAAGTGATAGCGATTGCTGTATGAATCGTACGATTTTTGAATCAAGCACGGGCAACGTCGGGCCATGCTGCTAGTTTAAAATAAACTCTTTTTTCAAGTAAGCCGCTATTGTTTAAAATTTACTGTTGTTTTTATTGCTATCGGGAAATGAGGAATGGTAGTTCTTATCAGGAATAGAGGAACGTTGCCCCTTATCGGGAATAGAGGAACATTGCCTCTTATCGGGAATAGACGAATGATACGCCTTATTGGAAATAGAGGAATGTTGCTCCTTATCGGGAATAGAGGAACGGTGGCCTTTATCGTGAAAAAAAAATTTGTGCCCCTTATCAGGAATAGAGGAACATTGCCCCTTATCAGGAATAGAGGGATGGTGCCCTTTATCAGGAATAGAAGAATGGTACGCTTTATCGAGAATAGAGGAACGATACCACTTATCGGGAATATACAGGAATTATACGCCTTATTGAGAATAGACGAACGTTGCCCTTATCGGGAATAGAGGAATGGTACATCTTATCGGGAATAGAGGAACGTTGCCTCTTATCTGGAATAGCGGAATGGTGCCCCTTATCGGGAATAGAGGAACATTGTACCTTATCTGGAATAGAGAAATGATACGCCTTATTGAGATTACAGAAACGTCGTCATTTATTGGGAATAGAGTAAAGTTGCGCTTTATCGGAAATAGAGAAATGGTGCCTCTTATCAGGAATAAAGGAAGAGTGCCTTTTATCGATAATAGAACATTGACCCTTATCGGGAATAGAGGAACATTGCACCTTATCGGGAATAGAGAAATGATACGCCTTATCGGGAACAGAGGAATGGTGCCCCTTATCGGGAACAGAGGAGCGTTGCTCCTTATCGGGAATAGAGAAATGATACGCCTTATCGGGAACAGAGGAATGGTGCCCCTTATCGGGAACAGAGGAGCGTTGCTCCTTATCGGGAATAGAGGAATGGCGCTCCTCATCGGGAATAAAGGAATGGCGCCCCTCATCGGGAATAGAGGAACGTTGCTCCTTATCGGGAATAGCGGAATGGTGCGCCTTATCGGGAATAGCGGAATGGTGCGCCTTATCGGGAATAGAGCGTTTGTTGATAGTATGCTGATCGTTTAACGCATGAAACTTTCAGTTACCATACTGATGTTAACTTCTATGTCTACACTACACGCACACACGTACATATTTTTATTATAAGAGATTATAATGAAAACATTTTTTTTAATCACGATACATTTGTCGCTGGCATATTTCCCGCAATCGTCAATGATGGTCTGTCCACGTTCCAGTTTATCGTGACATGAAAAAATAACTCACCCACCTCCACCCTCTGAGCTTACTTTTCTATTTAACTTAGATCTGTCATTTAATTGGTTACTCAAGACATATCCACAAGTCTATTCTTAATTCTGACCTTATGTCCCTCCACCCGATTTATCTTTCGGAAAAGAGGTAACACTTTGTTTTTAAATTTCCTTTAAAATCATTTAATCTCCAGTTACTCAGCATCGCCTGAAGAAGTACAATCATAGTATTGAAACATGAAAGCTTCTGTGTAGCGATTTCAAAAATGTTTTATTATAATCTCTTATAATACAAATATAATAATAATAATAATATATTGCTCGACTTTGTATTAACCACTTTTTTAAAAGTAAATGCTATAAACTGGATTTTTACTCCATCTGTTCTTACTCTCATTTGTATATATATATAAAATACAAATGCAATGTCAATCGTTAGCTGCTGTCTTATTCTATTATTACCCTCTCTCCTTAATAGCGTTTTTTTTTTTATCCTATTCACTTACACTCAGTAACCCCTTGCGTTCTAGTGGCTTTATTGCTTTGATTGTGGTGAAATTATTTTTTTAAATATCTAGTCTGAAAGTAGACTGTCTCAGGATTCCAGAACTGGCCTAACTTTGTCCTTGCTTTAGGTATTTGTCAACTTACGATCGTCTGAGAATCAAAGCTCTCAGATGTTTAATCATTTATCTTCAGATGATTAATTCTAGACAGTTTGCTTTTTCTGTCTTTTTTATAAGAGAATCATTGGAATCTTGTTTAAATTAATGTTATAAATGACAGACAGGTTCAACTCGACATATTCTTTTAAAACATGGCCTATATTAAGTGGATTCTGGAGCCTCACAGCACATCATCTAATATAACACAATTTTTTCAATATTTTTTGCTCGCGTTTTTTGTCTGACACCATCCCGTTTCGAACAACTTTAAGGAAAATACCAGAGACAAAATTTTTTTTCCTTTTAGTTTTCAAATATTACTATTTAAATCTGCAAAATGTAAGAAGATTGTTCGCGGAACATATTTAAAACATACCCAGTTCCTTTCATACATTAAATTGATCATTACCCTATTTTGGTTGCCATATACCGGTTTGGTTTGCTTTATTTTACGGCATATCAACACCTCAATGGGTTATTTAATGCCGACAAGATTTTTACAATGTACAGTTTGCAGATCCAACTTCATTGATATACTTTTGTAAAGAGGTTTGTTGCCAAGAGTCTGTTTTCATTGATGTTTTCTTTTCAGATACACGGTTTGTAGAGAAATTAATTTTTACATTCTCATTTGGTTTATAATTTTTGGTAGAGTCCTACTGTTTTGAGAATTTATATTAGATCATTAACTTTTACTTTCTCAAACAGCTCATAAGTAGTGTTTATATTACAGTATTTTTGTCTTGAAAGAGCAAGATCTGGGCACTCGATTAATATATGTTGAATAGTATATACTGTTTTACATGCTTGGCATACTGGTTGATCTTGTTAAGTTTGGGTATATCATAAGTATTCATTGTAGGAGGTTAGATATATAATTAAATTTATTTATTATTGTTAAAGTTTATGTGAATGTGTCTGTTTACTTTGGTTTGTTTTACGGCATATAAACACTTCAACAGGTTATATAATACCGACAGGGTTTTTATGGCTGGTAATATTTTTTTTCCAAAAAGGGATTGATGGTAATTTTTTTTTCTTTTTAAATTATTACTCATAATTTTAAAAATATATATACTGCTGGTAATATTTTTTTAAAATGTATTGCGGGTAATATGTTTTATTTTATTCACAAATTTATTGCAGGTAATTTTTTTTTCAAAAATGTATTGCTGGTTATATATATGTATTACTGGTATTTTTTTTTCAAAAATCAATTGCTGGTAATATATTTTTCAATAATCTATTGCTGGTAATAATGTATTGCAGGTAATAATGTTTTTTCAAAAATGCATTTCTGGTAATAATTTTTCCAAAAATGAATTTCTGGTATTAAAACCTATTTTCACAGTTTAATAGTGTTTTGACCCCAGTTTGGGGTTCAACTACTCGTCCATAGTTGGGACCCCAACAAGTGCCACAACTCCAGACTAGGGTGGAGCCGAGAACACCTGCAATCAAAAGGCAGCTCCATGCTCCTCAGATGCTCCCGATCAAAGGCCCTGCTGCCGGATGTAGTTCATCGTCATACCCAGAACAAGAATGGAGTTTGACGTCATACTCAGGACGCATCATTGGGTGGGGGGGTACACCTCTGCAGAAGTGCAGTCGGTGTATTCTGAAGCCGTGCTGTTCTGGTCGCGGCGCCAGTTGTGACGTCACCCCGTCTGTCTCCGCGCCGTCGCCGTCCTATCATGTCCTGTGACGACCAATGTGACTTGGTATTGGTCGCGGCACCAAACGTGACGTTCTAACCCTTTGCTGATTCGGATGGGAATCTGGTTAGATTCGGTATCAGTCTTGTCGTTCCCAGCTTGCCTCCAACGTCTGGTTACCGAAGTAACTGTTTTGATTTCTAGTCTAACCTACCCACGTTGTGATTTGATCTTAGGTAGACGAAATCAATCAGTCACCGGGCCGTAATGCAAGTCGAGTCCGAACAAGGGTAACACCGCACAAGTATATGTAAAAGAAAATAAAGTAATAACTCGAAAAGGTCAAATGTGTTAAAAAAGGATAACAATATTTTATATCTGGTTGCTGAATACAGGACTGCGTCTTCCTCCCAACCCGCTTATATGGATTCGTGACACTTTGCGTTTGTTAGGCGAGTCTTAACATCTTAAATTGTTCTTTTAAGAAATTGGTTTTGGTGTATCTTCAGGCGATATTCGTAAAACTTGTTTTGGTGGTGTGAGTCTAAGTCGTTCTTCAAAAATAAATTGTTCTTGGTTAGAAGTTGAGGTCGCGATTGCGTGGGATCTTTCAGTCAGGTTCCTGCGAGGCGGGTCTTCAGAGCTCTCAGCTCAACTGCAAACTGCAACTGCTCAGCTGCGAACTGCTAACTCAACTGCTTTCTACTCGTTGCGACTCTGCTTATATGGACGCCGACCAAAACCGGGGTGGGCCTGTCGGGGTTTGAGGTTCCTTGATAATTCTAAATCCGCATTAAGGGTTTTTCTTTGTTCTCGGTCAGGAAGAATTATTAATTTCCATCTTTAGACTCTTATCTTAACCGAATGTCACCTGGACTTTATCAATCGAGACCTTCGTCAAACAAGTGGGTGGTCATCTGGCGATATCCACAGCCAATTATTCGTTCTGATAAAATAATTTTGCTATCATGGCCAGCTCTTGACATAAAACAGGTGTCTTTTCCAAACGACATCTCCGCAGATAGCTAATGGGTCAGTCTTTCTTTCTTTGTAACTCTGCGGGTGGTCCAGCGGACATTTTTCCCGCGACCCAATTAATTTTTATCTCTTAGAATTCTGCCCTGTAGGCCACCTGACCGACCTGAAATTTTCACCATTCGGTGCGCCGTCATAAATCAAACGCGACAGATCCGCGACCTTACTTTCTTCGCTAATGAAAATAAAATATTTATCACTTTTCCTTGTTAGAAAAAAAAATAACATCGTCTTTTCGTGATAGATTCTTATCTCCTAATTTAATTCTCGCAACCCTAAATAGTGTCACATATATATATCGCGTTTATCCCGATTCACATTCCCTCCCCGTTTTTTTTTTTTGTTTTGTTTTTTTGGGGGGTAACAAGAGTAGAGATTTACTCCACGTTTTCTGTTTAGGATTGGATTCTCGGCTCCTTTTCATAGAAACTATTTAATTTTTTTTTTTTTTTTTTACTCCAAGTAACCTCTTGCGTCTTAATAATATTGTCACCTTCCTTGGATTGAAATGATTTAAAAAATAATAATAGATATTCACCCATATGTTATGGTTAAACTCACTTTTTATCTCCTAGATCCATTAACTACATGGGAGGAGCAGAATACTCCGACTGCGGGGAGGTAAACACAAACAAAAAAAGGGGCCATCTGTTTACTGTACTCATGCCTACCTTGTTGACTGTTGTGCAAGCCAAACTTATGTCTAAGTATCTATTGTCCAACAAAATTCAGCATGAAATAACCTAGGAAAAAATAGATATGCCATAAAACAGCCAAATCAGTTAACTACATTGCATTGTTGAATGTCACAGATGAACCAAAATCTTTCGAAATTATTAGCCCTTTCATTAGTTTTATATTTTTAGTTTTATAAACACTTATTTTTTTTTTCTTTTAAATACGGGGCCCACATATATGGTATTAATTTCCGCATTTTATTACTGATGTAACTTTTGATAATACTTTACGCTTAGACCTTTAGTTTCTGCAATTCCAAGTGGAATGATCAATTTTTTTTCCGGAGTGGGGGGATAAAATAACTGAATAATAAAATAACCGAACTCTTTCTGTCCATTTGTGATCTGTAGAATTCATGATCTCTTAAAAGACGACAGAGTTACATGACAGATATTAAATCTTGAACCATAATAAATTATTTAAATGCCTCTCTTTGATGTCGATTTCCCGTTTTAAAATCTGTCACTTCTAATAAAAATGAAAGCAGCATATTTGTCTCTACCACAGTTCAAAGAACTACCCGCTTCAAAACCTGCAATCGGAAACAAAATGAAATGGCTCATTTTATCAACTAGGTCCACCTTCTGGTTTGCATGAGATGATCGGGAATTAATTATAAATCAGTTCTTTCATTGTTATTGTTTTGTAAGTCGCAGACAGTTGTTACGCTCGATGTCAAATCTCTTCCTGGTTGCATATGTATAATTATCTGCAAATAAATAAAGGGAGACTACTCCGTAATTAACCAGGCTCCAACTTCATTTAAAATTTAAAGTTATCTTTACTTATTCTTCTACTAATATTTCATCATCTTTTTAAAAATGATTTTTAAATATACATAGTTAAATTTTAGAAAAAAATGCAATAACAGTAATGAATAAAAAAAAATGGCTCGGGTTCTAATAAGAGGGTAGGTTGCAAGGTGGCAGTAGGAGAACAGAAGGATTCAAGGTGAAGGACATTTATCATCAGTTTATTAAACACGTTTTTGTTTTCATCATTTCACCCCAACCAGAGCGATAATGCAATAAGCTCAACGGGTTATTGGGAGTGGAAAATGAGGAGCCTTTAGTGAGGAGAAAGGACAATAAAATAAGATTTAGGAAGACAGAAGATGGCGATAATGCCACTAAGGCACAAGTTGCTACTAGGAGTAAAAGAGAATGAGAAGACTTTAGTGAGGAAAAAGAACAATAAAAGAACAAGATTCAGGAATACAGATGTAATCACTTCACTTAAATAGAAAACGTGAGACCAAGCAATGAGTTGCTCTTCCAGAGGTTAGCATCAATCATGTTGTTCAAAGGTAAGAAATGTTCTATATAGTGATTAAAAATCAGTTTCGTTTTGGAGGCGTTAAAATTTACAAGCCATTCCTTGCCCCGCCTAAAAACTGATAGGAGATCATTTTCCAAAAACTTTTGGAATTTATTTTCATCAGACTGGAGATTTTTTCGGAATATATATTCTACGAAATAGCTTTCATAAAATTATTTCCTGGTCCCTAAAGTATTAGTTCTAAAGTAGGAGCTAACCTGATTTTTATGACATCGAAAAAAAAAAATCACTGCTTCTTTTGTTTTGTTTTATTTTAATATTAATATTCACCCTATACAAGGCCCATAAAGCGCTCAAGGTAGAAGGCTACTCTGTGATGTTGTATAAACGTTAAGGAAAGTATGACGTGAAGTTCATAAGGTTATGCAGGAAAGATAATAGTTAATCCTAGGTCAAAATTGTAGTGATTCAGAAAACATTTTAGCGGGAGTCTGTTCCACAAAGCAACAGTTCTTAGGAAGAAGCTGTCCGAGCGGAACTTACTCTTTACTAATGGAATACGCAGAGGAATAAGGATTATTTTTCCTTGTGTGCGTGACAAGGCAAGTCCTATTTGCGATGTTCAGAGCTGAGGGGAGCTAAGGAATATAGCTCATCAGAACACATGCCATGAAAGTAGCAATAAAATAGGGAGAGGCACGCGATGTTTTCCCTGTGGAAAAAAAGGTTGTATGGTACAAAAAACTCACAAGGTCGCGTAGACACTTTATAAAGACAGACAAGTAAGGAGTGGACAGCAACACTTAATTTTTCGTCTGATCCGGCTCTTGTGAAGATAGAGTATAAACCATCTATACTTCTGTACACGTATTTTCTTTTGCTGAATTTTGTTTTGTCTAGCTCAACAACTACAAATTCTCCCTCACTTAACGTCTTGAATGCTACTGCTTTCATACTGCCAACTTGCAGCTACTGCTTTCATACTGCCAACTTGCAGCTACTGCTTTCATACTGCCACCTTGCAGCGTGCTCAGTAAACTGAATACTAGATTATTAATCACTGCATAAAATAATGATAATTCTTAAATATTACCCCATGAAAATAAAAAAATTTTCCTGCAAAATAAAATTATTTCATGTGTGGTATTATTTTATGCAGCAGTTAGCCTTTCATTTCCTTGCCTTTTCCTCGTGAATATTTTCACACTTTATTACAAATAGACATTTTCCTCTTTCAACATGCCTAGTAATAAACTAAACATACGTTAAAAAAAATAATCGGGTCAATAATATCGGAGTGAGCCCAAACAAAACCCTCATATTAAACTGACCTGCAAATTGTTTTATTCTTTCTAGTTGTAGCATTTTGACGGTAAAGCGCTAGCAAAAATGTTGCTATGGTGTTCTGTTTTTGTCACATTAAAATATCAAAAGGGGCGAACAAGTACTGGCCTCACAGGGACAAATTAACGCAAAATCAAGAGATATCCTGGGTCAGCAAAAACAATAGAAACCTGAAGAAGGACTGATGAAAATAGCAAACACAGAATGTATGGATATCAGGCTATAAATGATATAAACGGGTATAGCAAATTAACTCAGAAAAAGCGCGAAAATAGGCATGACTGGATAAAAAGGGTGATTCATTGCAACCAGGGTTTGACCATACAAAACAAAAGGTATAGTCACAAATCGGAATCTGTCTGAGAAAATTTTTAAAAAATTAAATTCTCAAGGACTTTAAGTTTCAGCAATCACCCAAATCAGTTCAGAATATCATTTAAAAGAGAAGAAAACCTATCAGTGAGTGGATTCCTCTGTTTCAGCAGACGACAATGTAAACTTAAAAGAAGTATAAATATAAAAATTTTGGAAGAAAAAATTAAATCTGGGGAATTTGAAGGTGACAGTTATGCCCATTGGTTTTTGGAGCACTTGGAACAATCCCAAAGAGCCATGGAAAATGGTTGCAATAGCTGAGGCTTTATAAAAGAATCAAGAGCTTGCCGACGACAGCCAAAACAACTAAATATAATGCGTTGAAGTATTTACAAGGATTGTCTCGATTTAATCTCCAGTACTTAGAAGAAAGAAACACTCCTGATAAAGGTAGCAATGATTATATTGTTTTTGAAATTACAGTGGCATCCAGATTGTTATGATTAAATTCGCCTTCTTCCTGTTAATTACAAATTTATTCACTTTGTATTACATAACTTGAGACAAACGATTGTGTCGGTGTGTGGTTGTACTTCTCGTTAGAGTTCTGAAGCTGAGTTAATATAATTCTGTCGGAAGGTTTGAAGAGACAACAAAGAGGGGAAAACCTGACACGCCCCGAATAGTCGTCCAAGCCATTTGAATTTTATTATCTGCACAATAGACAATGAATCCGTAAGTAACTCAAACGAGCCTTGGGCAACTGAAAAAAGGATTTCGTTCGTAAACCATGGAGAAAAGACGAGGGCGGGAACTAACATGTCGTCGTTACTTATCACTACGACAAAGCATTCATCCTCTTAAAATTATCAATGAATGAATGAATGAATGAATGAAAGCCCATGTTTGTAGGTGGCTGAATGAGGGCATACATAGTTATACATACGTGTGTATCTGTGGAAGACGGTGATAAAAATGTGGTTGCATATTTATATCTTGTTTTTTAACCGTATTATATATGTGCGTGTGTCTATGTACGTGTTAATATGTTTATGTAAAAATTCAAATATAAATAACACGTGTAAAAAGATATGAATAAAGACATGGAAAACTTTTCTTTACCAACGCGTTTCGTCCTCTAATGGACTCTATTAAGGTAACGTTTACCTGAAAGTCCATCATAGGAAAAGAAAAGTTTCTTTGGTACTTGTGGGTTATCTGTCGCCACTTTCTAAAAATTAATTTTCCAATGTTTTCACAAATACAGACGTGTAAAAATATACTATCCCAAAGATTCATTTCGCAATCTGAAAAAAATTAATTAAAAGCAATTAAGTATTATAAATAGTACATATAACTTCACCAATAAGGTCACCAATACGTATATTAAAAGGTGGCGTCAGATAATCAACAACACCGATACCGTTTCTCATGGTTATATATATATATATATATATATATATATATCCTAGTGAGCCTGAACACACCTACCAAGGTTTCATCTAACGGATCTTCAGAGCACCACTCTTTAGCCAGTAGTACTCTGAAGATCCGTAGGGGGTGAAACCTTAGTAGGTAGGTTCAGGTTCACTAGTTTTTTTTAGATTTTGCTGTACTTAATGTATTGAGCACTTTTACGTTTTTTACTTAATTTACTCTGTCGGTCTTTTTTTCTTTGTATTAACCACTAATATTATCAATATATATATATATATATATATATATATATATATATATAACCTACTGAGCCAGAACCTACATAGCAAGATTTCACCTAATAAGTCCTCAGGGCACTACTGGCTAAAGAGGGTAGGTTTTGCTGTACTTACTGTATTGAGCACTGCTACGATTTTACTTAAGTTATTCGGTTGGTCTTTTTTTCCTTTTGACTAGGCATTGCGTTGCTGATTGATTATTTTCAACCAACACGGATATCTTAAGTTTTTTTCTTTTTTCCTGATTTTTTCTTTACAAATTGTATTATACGTTTCTCTCTTTGTTTTTATTTTTACACCGCCTGAGTATAGGCATTAAAATAATACATAATTATATATATATATATATATATATATATATATATATATATATATATATATATGGAACAACTTACCTAGGTTTCACCTAAACGGATCTTCTGGGTATCCCTGCTCTACTTAGCGTATTGAGCACTCTACGTCTTAGCTTTATTACTCGCTTGGGTTTTTTTTCTTTGGACTGGAAACTTAAAGAACTGGACGATTTATTTTACCCTGTTCGGATGTTTCTAGATCTTTCTTTTTGTATAATTTTTTTTTTTTTTTTTTCCTCGGGTACCAATTTGTTTTGATTGACTTACAAGTTGTGCTATCCGAGGTTTTTTTCCAACCGAGTATTACTAGTAGTAATCATTCTTAGAAAAATCAACCTTTCTGCTACCTTTTTCTACCAATTTAGTATCAACAGAGAATAAATTGAATTTTCTATCCAAAGACATTATTATATGCATCAACATACCGCTAATAAAGGGGAGAAGGAAATAAAGAGAAAGAGAGTGAAGAAAAGAAAACTGTTTAATATAAACATTCCTACTCGGGCCCGTAGTTTACGAAGAGAAAATTTCTACCAGGTTTGGCCACAACGACGTGATGTAATGGGTAACAGGCATGTTTCGCTATAATAGTTGCGACTCTGAGTAGTGAGCTCGGTCTTCACTGGATGTCCCCTACATTGTGCCACATCTACGATTACAAAAATCACCTTTTGGCCTAGAGTCACATTTTCTGTATAAACAGAAATAAATATCACCTTCTAGAATACTTGCACGTCGTCATTACCTCAGATTTTTCGTTTAGTAGCTCTTATGTTGGCCAGGACACTGCATGATTGCCAATTTTTCCTCTTGGCTTTTGTTTCCCATGCTAAATACACGAGTCTCCCTCACCACATTCCGTTTCACAAGAGGACTCTTATTTTTTTTCCCCTTTAGAGCTGGAAACGAGGAGTGGTAAGGTCTTAGCATTGTTAATAAACAAGAAATTATCCTTCAAACGAGTAAGGCATAAAACAGTACAAAACTTGGTAATTATAAAGGGAAAATGAAAGGAAAAAAATAAGAGTCGTATCGCAAAATGATATGTGGTGAAGGAGACCCGTGAATTTGGTATCGGGAACAAAATGTGCAAGTTGTGCCAGGAGAAATTAGCAATAATGCCGTATCCTGTGCAGCATAAACTGTTAAAAGGAAGTTCGGCACGTAAGTATACCTAAAATTCCTTCGAGCTAGCTATGAGCTCGGATAAGAATGTTCATAATATATAATTTTCATCCCTCCGCTCTCCTCCTCTTTACTTCTTTCCTCCTCCCCATTATCAGAGACATGTTTATGCATATAAGAGTGTCTTGGGATGAAAAATTCTCCATGACGATACTAATTTTTTGGTAAAAACCACAGTAGCAGGAAGGTTGGTTTTCTAAGAATTTTATATTTTAAGTTGTTCTTCACTTTAATTTTTTGAAATTCACTTGAGAGCATTAAACAAAATTTGACAAGAAATGGTTAAATTAATGAATGTCAGTTACATCGTTTTTTCAAATATCGCGTTTTCATACGTCCTATTGGCGTTTTAATATATCGTTAGTTCACGCTGCCGTGTCATTTTTATTAAATATTTAGTGTGTTTATTTCTAAATTTGATGACCGTTTATTGATGTTGAGTTTTTCTTTTAACATTCTTCATCTAGCTAATGACATTTATGCCGTACTGTGTTTTTATATAATATATATATATGTGGTAGTGCGAGTGGTATAATGAATACCCGTTCGAAATGAGAGCTGATTTCGAATTCCAGTAAAGCTCATTATATTTACTTACGCGCAAATTACCTTGAGAAAGCTATGGATTAAATAGGACAGACTGGGCTCTTTAGCATTGGTTAGCAGCCAATCTAGGTCAACTCTGAATTCAAAACCTGAAGAGGATTGTTTGGAGACCCTGTGACACACTATGTGCACTAGATGTCTGTATTCAGCTCTTGCTAAAAGTGTGGTTGGTTCTACACACATTCTCCACTATAATCGTTTGTGCGAGTAGTATAGCTAATCGGTTCTAAGAACTGTTCTGCTAAACTCTCGAAAACGACGCCGTTCTGATAAATTATTTTGGTTAGTATGATTAAAACTTATCAAAACGAATATTATGAAAGAAACATTCAACAAAACCTCCAGAAAGCTGGAACTCCCTCTTTAGCGTGTCAATAGAAATGGCTAATTTTCGAATATTATCACTAATAAACGTACGTTCAATTGTCAAACTATGATTTAGCCTTGATCTAAGTATGCTAAATGCAATATTTGTGTGTGGAGCTATTCTAATTTCACCACTAAAATTAGTTAATTTTTTAATTCTGGAAAGTACCTGTATCGCATTTCACCTTTTGATGATTAAAAAAAGTTCACTATATATATATATATATATATATATATATATTTAAACGTTATTTTAGTGTCTACTCCTATTTGAGTAGGCGCTCCTCCTCATTAAACGGTATATTTATTTTCGTTTACCGGCCTAAATATTCGCGAAATATTTTTAAAGAAAAACATGTCCTCCGACAGGATTGGATCCTGCCTCCCCCTTGGTCGGAAAAACCGTCGTTAGACAAAGTTTGCGTAAAGGTTCCCCTTATATCCTCTTTTAAAAACTAGATACACTAGAAAAGCTTTTTTCTTTTTTCTCAAGTAAAGCTGTAAATCTTTGCATACACCTTTTATTTATTTTATTTAACACCCACCCAGGTATGATGAGAACGAATAGAGTTCACTTCCAACGTTCGTAACATTTTTAATTTAAAAGAGGGATCAATACATAGAGGAATATAATTGATTTTGGGATATTACAACAAAAACATGTAAGAATTGTGTAGCGATCCTTACATGTTTTTGTTAAAAATCACTCACGCACACGGAGTCTTTTCTTATTTTTATTTTTAACCCGAACGCATCACAGCAATAAAATAATTTTTATTTTATGTTTTTCGATTAATAATTTTATTTTTAAACAAATTTGAATTCAACTTCATGACAACGTTTTGTCTTCTAGAGATCTCCCCCCCCCTCGTCGACACTCGATAGCCCAAAGTCTGATCGTTTTAAAATATGTCCTCATGGTAGACATTTTTCATACAATCATATTTTTATAAACAGATTCTGTTCCACTATAAAAAAAAAGAACACAATATCTTGAAATCACTGTTAAATATATACAAATATAAAAATTCAACAACTGCATTAAATATCACTTAGCATCCTCCAGTTTACTTTAACTTTCACAGTTGGCCTTAAGGATATTTTTCAATGTTCTTGAATTTCAAAATTTTGAAATATATATATATAACTTGTGTTTATAAATAAATGCGCTTTGATATAGTCTGACGAAACGCGTTGGTAAAAAAAAAAAAATTGTCCTTTTTGCCTTCATTTATATTACCTTTTATATTTTTTTTATATCTTACACACACATATATATATATGGCAGCTCGGCGTGATGTAATGGTTAACAAGCATACATACACACATATATATTATGCGTGCGTGTATGTATGGCCAGCTGGTTATTCGTGAGCACACTCATCAGTTAGAGAGGCTAGTAAATCTCTGTTGTAGACACCTGCATGTTTGTTCAAAACTCGGAGCAAACTCGTGGTCTATACTGCAAAAGAAAAAAAAAAAAAAGAAACTCTGGTATAAATGGTTCATATTCAGAAATATAAAAATAAATCGCCAGAAAACCAAAATTAAATATCAAAATATCACCTGAATAATAACCGCTTCAGAGAATTCCTAATGTAGTAACTCCACTGATACCTCAAACCCCGAGGTTCCCAGGGGTAGGCCCTTTTCTTTTTTTTTTTATCCCCTTTCACTGACATCGTCGTTAACAATTTAGCCTTAATAACGTGAAAGACTTTGGTTACGCCCACTTCCCGCGCGCAAGCAAATAATGTCGCACCCTATGCTTGTAAGAGAACAAAATTATAACTCTTCGGTTAGGGTCACTCAATATGGTCATTTTTAAGAATTGAATTTCACCTTCTCTGAAGCTGGAACCCCTTGCTAGTTTTAAGAATGATTTATACCCGGACCCTAGTCGTGCAATGGCGTCTATTAGCCTGAAATTTTGATTGTTTTATGATATACGTCGACAATGTCCATAGAAACGCCAGAAAAGAACCAGCATGGCACATGACTGTCTAAACCACAATATAGTTTCGTTCAATCAGTGTGTGTGTGTGTGTATATATCTGCAACTTTTTTTACGTGCTCTGAATGATTGCGTCGCCGCTTGTTGACCACAGTGCCAACTTTATATATATATATATATATATATATATATATATATATACTCGCTCGCGCGCGCACACACTTAAAAAAAAACGTAAAAACGCTGCACCAATGCAATCATGTTTCGATGTGTATTAATACATCTATTTTTAAATTGAATGTTACGAACGTCTGAATTGGATTCTATTCGTTCTCATTTTACATATATTCGTCTGGTGGATGTAAATGAAAAATTGTCAGTAGCATCTTTTGTCCCAAGCGCTTGGTACCATATACACTATAGACAATTGTTACACTCCCTTACTCTCACCAAACAAAAAAATGTAGGAATGTTAGAAAAAAAATTTAAATGAAATGAAAAATTCAAACTTCCCATGTGTCGTAATCAGTGAAAAATGTTTGAAACAAAAGGTTGCTCTCTTATATATATAAACAGGCCAAAATTTCAATCTGTGCATGGAGAAAATAAAAAAAATCATAAAATTTAAGAACTGCTTAATAAGAATGGTTTAATAAACAAAAGCAATTAAATTATTTCGAACTGTCGGTACTTTGACGTATTCCTTTTGACAAAACTGAAAACGATAGATATCGAGTGTCCAATATAAACAAACGCCCATTTTGAAAATTTCTATGCACGAAACTGGCTGTAAATGGGTAACTAAATGTTAGGTTTTATGTGTATTAAAAATTTATTTTAAAGTTATATTTAAATTGAACATCTTTATACATGCAATAAAAAGAAAATTCAGATTATATGAGTAACGAATGGATTCTTTATTAATCCGACAGCTTTTTATTATTTTAAATGTTATCTTTAGTGGATACTCGTATTTGAGTAGACGCTCCCTTTATTTATTAAACAGTATATTTATTTTCTGAATATTCGAGAAATCTTAAAGAAAAATGTGCACTCTCCAACAGAATTCGAACATGCGTTCCCCTAAGTGAAACTTTCATTAGATCTGACGTGCTTTGACTGCTCGGCTACGGAGTCTAATGACATTATTAATTGATCATCGACACACTTTGTAGCCGAGAGGTCAAATCCCTATAATAATAATAATGAGGATATTAGTCCAGGTGTAAATAATATATATTTAATATTTTTATTTATTGACCATCGATTTTACACTGTCTTCTGTCTTTAAATCCTGTTTTGGTAATCTAGTTCTCTCATGCATATTTTTTCTTTCTCTTTACGCTACATGTTCCCACATATCGTAAGTATTTTTTTCTTTTT